TTTCCCTTGTTAAAAATCAAAAAGAGGTTTCACAAATCCTAAACAAGATTTTAATGAATCTACAACCTATTCAGGATATTTCCGTCCTGATTGGAACAGTGCAGCTCCTGTAGTTTCCACTCAGGACGCGGTAGTTCCGGTAGTTCCCGGTGGGAGCTCCATGGTAACGAGCGCCGTGCTTTTCCAGGGAAAACTCCGGAGAAGGAGGGCGCTCTGGGCGGGGCGCTGCTGTCCGAGGTCAGCACGCTGTTTGAGATGCTGATGACGCAGAAGGCCGACGCCCACCCGGGCCCAAGGCCCGACGTCCTGTACCGGCTGTCGGCCGCCTGCCGGCGCTCCCTGGGGCTGGACGCCGGCGCCGAGGCCCGGCCCGGCCCAAACGCCTGAGCGCCCACACTGGAAAAGACTGATCTGATGTTCGGATCTCAGAGGCATTCCAATGCCTGAACTGTAAATAGCTAAAAGGACCACTTGGTTTTCAGAGTTTGAGAAAGAATTTGTTCTTTTGGGAGCAGAAAAGGTCTAAAGGGAGTTTTTTTAAGACCCAAAGACCTCCAGCCGGGTCCCCCTGCAGGGCCGGGTCCAGGCAGGGGCCCCCAAGAATTGATTATTAAATGTCCAAGGAGATGCCGTTTCCTCCTACTGGTCCTGGTTTTTGACTACATCAGGAGTCCAGGTCTTCAGCATCCTCCACGGAAAAAACAGAAAGGCTCCAAGATGCGACCCAGAATGTGTCTGTAGGACCCGGAAAGACCCAGAATGTGTCTGTAGGACCCAGAATGTTTCTGTAGGACCCAGAAGGACCCAGAATGAGCCCGTAGGGCCCAGAAGGACCTAGAATGAGCCTGTAGGACCTAGAATAAGTCTGTAAGACCCAGAATGTGTCTGTAGGACCCAGAATGAGTCTGTAAGACCCAGAATGTGTCTGAGGACCCAGAAGGACCCAGAAGGAGTCTGTAGGACCTGGAATGAATATGTAGGACCCAGAAGGAGTCTGTAAGACCCAGAATGTGTCTGTAGGACCCAAAACGACCCAGAACGAGTCTATAGGACCTGGTCTCTGCCTCCATCTGGACTCCAGGTCTTCAGCTCCTCCACAGAAAGAACAGAAAGGCAGAAAAGCCTCTGTTTGTTCCAGGAGTCCAGAGTTTGACCAGCAGGGTGAGTCCCTGCTGGACCAGACGCAGCCCTGCTGCTTTTCTCTGGCTGGAGGAGATCTGGTCTGGGGAGTTCAGAGACCAGCCCCCCAGATCCAGGGTTCAGGTTTTACGGTTTAGGGGGGACATGCAGAGAAAGGCTCCCAAATGCAGCAGGACAAAGACAGCAGGTAGAAGTAGGTCTGCACTAAACCACAGAAGAAGAAAAAGAAGAAGCCACAGGGCATTTAGAAACATATACATTTAACTAATTTTCTGCCAAAGACGTCTATAGACGTCTTTTATGTTTTTCAACAAGAGTGTCTGGGGGACGATCTGCTAAAGCTTGTCCGTAAATATGGGCTTCTAGACAGAGTATGTAGTAACAAATTGAGCCTCTAGGGGGCAGTGCCACTTTTGATGGGAGATGAGCATAGACTGTAGGCAAATAAGAAAAAGCTATCGGTTCTATGAGAGAACATGTCGCCGGTGAGACGCAAGTCCAGGAAGAACGGAATAAGGTAGAAACACATTTTTTTTTCCTGATGAAAGAAGAGAGTCTACTCTTTCTTTTGGTGTGTTCGGTGTTTACATAGTCATAGCACAAACTATTCTGTGGCTCTAGAAAAATCAGTCAAAATGCTCAAAAAACTCTGGCAGTC